TGTGTCTCTCTCTGCCCCTCCCCCACTCTCACTCTGTCTCTCTCTCTCAAAAATAAACAACGTCAAAAAAAAATAAAAATTGTTTTGGTTAAGCTTCCCTGTGTGATTGGATCTTTCCTTTGGTTCTACCAAGGAAGTGTAATAGAGAGGAAGGAGGGCGACTTATTCTTGTTCAAAGATAATGAAGGCTGCCTTCTACCACTCCATCCTGAACTCTGCTTCCAGAAGAGCTGTGCTTTAAGTCAGCTTCCATTATGCCATTTTACAACTCAGAAATATTTCTAGGGTTATTTGCTTCCTCCCTGTGTTTTGCGACCTGCTTCCTCCCTGCCCCACCCCACCCCCACCCAATCTGTCTCCTTCCTACCTCCAGAGTTTACGCAGTTTCCTAGATAGCAAGTTTTTTCCACCTGCTTACTCCCACCCTCCTCATCCCCACATGCAATGTCCCTTTCTTTCCCTCTGTTCTCAAGGGCTGTTCCTTTCACTTGCCAGGACTTCTCCTCCCCCCCACCCTAATTCAGATTTGTGTTACCCAAATTCCTATAGACATGGCCACTTCTACCAGGACCAGCAATATTATTGGAAATAAAATATAGAAAAGGTTTTCCCATGACTGTTTCCTATAATGATCATAAGTGCTAAGGTCTGGATGACAGATGATTACTCTCTATGGTGGCAGCAAGTAATGACCCAGATACATCGCTTTCACAGTCTGATTCAATGTAAGAGGGTTTCGTACATAACAGCACAACATTTTGTGTTGCTTCTTGTGGTTTCCCATGTTCAGTTTCTATTTCTTTGAAACCAAAGCGTTGACTTAATCTCATCTTTCATATCTCCCAAGTACCCACTCCAGGGCTAGACACCCAAGAAAGGACCCGTTGAACTAATAGATTAAATGACGTAGATGTGGAGGGGTCAAAGAGATGTCACGGAGTGAGGAACCATAATTCCTTTAGATGGTGTGTTGGAGAAATTGTTCATCCTGTCACTGGCACATCGAAGGAGGGCTGTTCCAAGTCCAGTCTTTTGTTGGGTACTCATGTGAAATTGATTCAAAAGCGATAGAATCTTTGTACATATAAACAGCTAACAAATGAGGGAGAATATGCATCCAAACAAATCCAACTGGCAGGACACGTGGTGCTGTTGAGAGGAAGCCTCTGGCCATCTATCACACCTTGAAAGATGAACAGGGCAGGCCTCGCTTTCCCTTCAAAGGCAGGAAAGGTTAGCGCTCTGGGAAAATAGAGCCCAATGGGAATTTCAAACACACGGTGTGGCCCTTCCGGCTCGCAGGTCATTATTAACTACTCTTACCCTAAATAGCCGTGACATATAATCTCTTTCCTAATTTTATTATTTTACTTACTATCCCAAGACCGTAACTTTTTAGACATTCAGGTGAGATTAAGGGAGGAGGAGGTGGAATAAGGCTTTTAAAACCTTTGATTACCTCAGAAAACATATTTGCTTACTTTACCAGGAAGTTGGGGTTTTGTTTTGTTTTGTTTTCTACTGATGCCAAGAGGGGATTAACGAGTAGCTGCTGGGTTTGCCAGCTTTCTTTTGATTTCAGTTTATGTAATTAAGCAGTTCCCAGAATGACTTAGGTTCTCACTGTGCATCAAAACATGCTTCTCAGATGTGTTAGGTGTGGAGGTCAGAGAGTATCCAAACTCATGGAATGGAGGGAGGGGGAGTGAAAAACTGATCTTGCTTTAGTAACAGTCCATCCTATTTAAAAAGGATTGATTCTGCTTTGGGGCCATGCACACTGAGGTACGTTGAGTAGAAAGGTTAAAACAGAAGTTCAGAATGAGCTCATGTTAGAATAACTCAAAGTGAGGTTAACAATAGAAATAACACAGGGGAAATAACACAGGGAAACCAACTCTGGTTCACTATTGAATTTCCAACAACTAGAGCCTCGCGCATGGTGGCTGTGTAAGAACGCGTGCGTTTGACAAAGAAGCACTAGTAACTCACTGGGTGCCGGGCTCCGTTCTAGTTCCTGGAGACACAGTAAGGAATTTAGCCTCCCCCAGGACCCTCACACGAGCAGGCACAAGACAGCCTGCCCGAGACATGGGACAGGAACGAGCCTGAAAGCCCAGGGAGCCCAGCGTTTGTGGGAAGAGGATGTGATCAGGAGAAAATGCTGCTAAAACGACTGAAAAGTGAAGACTGGGTAATGGTGGCAGCTGTATAGCCATCAGTGACGACAGGAATAGGCCACCTTCAGGGAGGACCAGTGGTGAACCAGACATCTTAACATAATTTCATCCCCTGTAAGACACCTATGAGGCAGGTCCTATATCATCTGCTTTTTGCAGATGAGAAAACTGAGGACAGAAATAAAGTCATTTGTGTGAGCTCAGAGAGCCAGTAAGTCACAGATTCAGGTGGGAGCTCTTCTCCATCACTCCATGGATCCTGTTCTTAAATGGTTGTGTGTCTGGGGCTGGTGGAATAAAAAGCAGCCAAGGAGTGGAGAGGGGCATGGGGAAGTGAAGTTTTCTCCTCTTGAAAGATTTGGAATCTTTCAAACTTAGTCGAAGAAATATAGCATGGTTGCTAAAACCCAAGTCTGGACTGGTGACCATGGGAAGGCACTATAGCAGTTGTTTCAGATGGCGTGGTTCAGTAGATCAGGGCAGCATCGGATGCGTGACGCGGCCGCACTTGCTGTGTGGAAAGGCTGGTCCCCAGTGCTCTAGGGCCACGATTCTCAGCACAGGGTCCCTGGACCAGCAGCATTGACATCACCTGGGAACTTGCTAGAAAAGCAGATTCTCAGATTCACCACCCCAGGTCTTCCAAATCAAAACCTCAGGGGACGAAGGGTGGGATCCACGTTCTAACAAGTCTGTGTGTGATTCTGATGCACAAACCCATGTTCTTGGGGGATCCTTGAACACGGGAGAGGAAAAATCTGAATGGCTTATAATCCACGCATCTCTCGGATGCAAAACACCTTGGCAGAAACCAGATGGAAGACTGGTTCTGAACTCTGACTGCATGTTGAGGTTGCATGGGAAGCTTTGAACACTGCTGCTGCCTGAGTCCCGTCCTCAGAAATTCTGGTCTCATTGGGCTGGGGTCAGCCTGGGCATTTAGTTCTTGTAGTGAAGACTTGAATGGGCAATGGATGATTGAGTGGATGGTTGGCAAGGTAGCCTGTGTATTTTTGAGTCAGAATCATACTCAGGGGAGAAAACAAGGCAGGTCTTGAAGGGGAAAGAAGACAAATGGAAGAGAAGCCAGATCTTAGGCCCTTCATGAATACCAGTATAGCTTGAATAAATCTGGAGACTCTTGGGGGCGGGGGGCTGAATTCATAACAATTCTTAACGAGGGACTTATTTTCAGAGCACTTCCAATTATAAAGTCAATATGCTAGCAAGACTGCTTCATGAATTAAGAAGTATTGTGATTTTTAGTCAGTCTTAATGGGGACGTTTCTACTAATTTTGGTTGAGAGCAATACGCTCACCTCCTCCTGGCAGCTTCACTCAGACTCTGTCTCTGTGTTAAAAATGTGCTCTGTCCCTCTGGCCTCTCCAACATCGCTGTTTTCCCTTTGCTCCTTGAACATTCCTCCCCCGCCGAGCTGCCCAGCTCCTGTCCTGAGCATTCTCACCCCGTCCCCAAGTCCCGGGATTTGTTCATGCCCCCATGCCCGCACCCTCATTTTCTCAGGCCCTAGCTCTGCCCAGAACCCTCCATGGCCTCTGGCTTAGAGGACCCACCTCGCACTTGGCTCTTTCATCCTTGAGACACTCTGCCCCTGTTTTGTTTTCTCCATTCTGCCCATTTCCTGTCTCTACCCCTGGATCATAAGTTCCACAGGGACAGTGCTGGCTTGTCATTCTTGGCCTCCCACCCAGCTCAGCTCCCCACACCCCACAGCCTTAGGGAATGGCAGTCAAGAAATTCACTGCAAAGTGAACTTCCATCCCTGTGCCTCCCACTTGCTCACGTAGGGCAGATAAAGAAGGCCCCTCCTCCAATGAGGTAGGAGTGTGGTCGGGCCATTCGGAAGGCTGCCTCGAGGGAAGAATCCACAGGAAAATGTGCCAAGATGGGAATTCCAGAAGGAACCTCCTCCAGAGTGAAGAGTGGTCCTCACAGAAGGGGCGCTTGCAGCCCCTTTAGTCTGTGGGACTTTGTAGTAGTTTCCCAGGGCTGCCTTTAACATACTACCACCGATGTGGGGGCTTAAAACAACAGAAATCTATTCTTGCATAGTTCTAGAGGCCAGAAATCTGGAACCAGTGACATTGGGCCAAAATGAAGATGTCGGCTGGGCCCTGCTCTCTCCCAAGGTCCTAGGGGAGAGGCCATCGTTGCCTCTTCCAGCTTCTGGTGGCCTCCGTGTTCTTTGGCTTGGGACTCCATCACCATCGCTATCTCTGCGGCTACATTGCCTTCTCCCTGCTTCAAAAAAGTCCCCCTGTCTTTCTCTTATAAGGACAACTGTGACTGCATTTAGGGCCCATCCTGGTAATCCAGAATAACACCCCGTCTCAAGACCCTTAGCACATCTGCAAAGTCCTTTTTTGCTAAGGTCACATTTGCACATTAAGGGATTTGGATGTGGATATCCTCTGGGGAGCCGTTATACAACCTACCCCACGTGTAAAGGTAACTGGAGCTTCCAAAGGGGCAGAGAATTGCCCGAGGACATACTTCAGGGTTGTCACAGAAATCAGACAAAAGCCCAGGTCTCCTTTCTGTCAGCTTTGGGCTTTCTCCACTAGACTAAGCTGATGCTCGTAAAAATAAAACAGGGAAAGAGATTTAAAATAGTACCTCATACCCTAATCCGTGTGCTGTCTGGATTATTTGTCTTCCGTCTGGATTGGGGGCTACCTGGATTCATTCGCCTCTGCATCCACTTCCCCCTCAAGTTCTGTTGGGCTCACGATACCCTCTCTGGCCTGCGTGGGCAGCTGCAGGGGAATTACCTAAACGGCATTTTCTGCTCTTTTCAGGACCGCCTCTTTTTCGTCATGGAGTATGTCAACGGTGGAGACCTCATGTTCCAGATTCAGCGCTCCCGAAAATTCGATGAGCCCCGTTCCCGGTTCTATGCTGCAGAGGTTACATCAGCCCTCATGTTCCTCCATCAACATGGAGTCATCTACAGGTAGCTCTTCCCTCTTCCTCGTCTTCCCTTCCCCGAAAGCGAAAAAATCAAGAATTCTCCAGACACTTGAACTGACTTTGGCTCCTGCCCAACTGGTCTCTTAGCAACCCGCTTTAGATTAGTTGTTTGTTCCAATTTGCTCACGGAGGACTTTTTTGGGGGCTGTTTATCACTGTGAATGTTAATATTTGAATAGCCCCAGGAGATCTGGCCCACTGTTTGTGCCAGTTTTGATTGAAAGCCCAAGCACAACATTTTAAAGGCTTGGCGCCGAGCAACCTTGGGGTGACCTTCATTTCTCTCTCTCCCCACCCTCTTCCTTCAACATCAGGGCATTCTCTTTACTTTTTCCTTCTGTGCCATGAACTTCCTCCCCTTCCCCACCTCTTGCCACTTCCTGAGTTTGTTTGGCTTAGTTGTCTCCAGCAGATAGAATCAGAGGAGGCGTTGCTTGAGGGTCTCTGGGTTTATGATTCTAGGAGGAGGAGGGGAAGGGAGCTAGACAATCTCCAACAGGAAGTGACTGCAGATCATCCAGTCCCTTACTGCCGCCCTGTCCCCCTTCCAAGAAAACACAGAACGAACGAACACACACACACACACACACACACACACACACACACACTAATTTTCCAGTAAAGGAGCAGAGCTATTTACGCAGGCTCTTCTGTGAGGTCAGGAATTCTGGGAGGAGTAAATATTTATAATTAGCAACGAGGACGCTAAAGTTCTTTAAGGTTTTCTCAATGACTGTCAATTTCTTTTGCTTCCCCACCTTTTTTTTTTTTTTCTTTTTAAGCTGGCTGGGTTCAACCCAGAACTTAGTCACCAAAACTTTTCTGACCCTCTCCTGGGAGCAGTGCTCTGACTAAATGTTCTTCAGGGGGATTTGACCAACCGCCTACCCGCCCCCGACTACATTTACACTGACGACTCTTAGTGTCCTAAGTATGCATCTCTCTGCTGAAAACTAGTCAGGACCTCCCCATGGCCTACATAATAAAGTCCATACTTTTTAGCCGCTAGTCATGGCCCTCCACATCGTGTGCCCATGTACTTATTTCCTATTGCTCTGTAACAAAATACTACAGATTTAGGGGCTTAAAACAACACTCATTTATTATCTCCCAGTTTCTGTGGGTCAGGAGTTCAGGCATCGTGTGCCTGGGCTCTCTGCTCGGGGTCTCTCTGCTGCGATCAGGCCAGGCTACGTGCTTGCCTGAAGTTTGGTGTCTTCTTCCGAGCTCCTGTCCTGGTAGGCAGAATTCATTTCTTTGAAGCACATGGCTTCTTCAAGACCAGCAGTAGAGAAGGCCTTTCTTGCATTGAGTCTAACTTCAGGGAAGGCTTGGACTGTCTTTTAAAAGGATCACTTGATTAGATCAGGTCTGCCCAGGATAATCTCCCTTTTGTTTCACTCAAATGATTAGGGACCTTTATTCTATCTGCAAACATCCTTTGTCCTGTAATGCCACATAATCACAATAGTGATAGTATATCATCTTTTCCACCTTCTATTCGTTAGGGGTAAGTCACAGCTTCCACCGTACCTGGGGGAAGGGTTATGCCAGCGTGTGACTGAGGCTCAGCTTAGGTTGTGTCTGCTGTAGCCCAGTACACCGTAGCACCTTGTTTGGACCCCACCGCGATTCATAGCTTTTCTCAAACTCACCTGTCAATTCCCAGCTTTCTGTGCTCATTCCCTCCTCTCCCCTCCTCTGATCAGCCCAGAGGCCTCACATAATACTGCCCGCCTGCACAAAGCCTGGTCCCACCAGCTAGAGCAGGACTCTCCACCCCGGACACTTCCATTTGCAATCTGGGAATGAATGGGATTTGAGACTTATGTTACTGTGCCCACTGCTGTCCTCCTTGTGTTAGGCATCGCTGTGGATCCTTCACCAAGCCGCAGACTTCCTTAAGGACTCTTCCTTCCTTCCTTCCTTCCTTCCTTCCTTCCTTCCTTCCTTCCTTCCTTCCTTCCTTCCTCCCTCCCTCCCTTCCTCCCTTCCTCCCTCCCTCCCTCCCTCCCTCCCTTTCTTCTCCTCAATCATCGTATTGCACACACTCTTCTTGTCTTACCCATAGTAAATAGTCAACAAATGACCATTGACTTCAATTAGTTTAAAACCCTAATCTCTGCCCCCCGAGAAGCTCACAAGCCAGTTCAAGGTACAGGAGTGAGTTACGTATGCAAAGAGCTCACCTGACTCATACTGCAAGGCAGCGCACTGTTAGGTGCCCATGCCGGAGGAAGAACTGCCATCCTTTGAGATGTTGTTCCCGTTCCGTCCCTATTAGGCGTGGGTATAAATGGTCCAGTTTGCTAGCAGGGATTCAGAGACTTCCCACAAATAGCTTGCCTGTGGCCCTCCTTGCTCAGTGGCAGACCTAGGAAGTCCTTAAGTGACTGATCAGCAAGCTCGTGCTATAAGCCATGACACCTGTTACTCTGCCTCTTCAAGTCCAAGTCCAAACTCTTTGGCTTGTCATTCGAGGTATTTCAAAACTTGACTTTCCCTTACATTTCTACTTTTCTCCTTTGCAAGTCCCCCTCATCACACCTGTGAACACTTGCTCTATCGGCTTGTATGTGCCATACTTTCCCCTCTCCCTCCCGCCTCCCTGGCCCTGTCTGCTCCATCCCTGTATTCCCTGGCCCAGCTGCTTTTCCCTTCCGACCTCCATCCTCTCAATGCTGGTTTTCCCCAGGGTCTTTATCCCTCCTCACCCCTACCCTCAGTACTCTGCCTGAGCGATTTCAACAGTTACATGCTTTCTGTGAGTCCTGTGTGCCAGCGACTCTGTGTCACTATATCCAGTCTCCAGGTATCCCCAGAGTCCCAAACAAGATCTCTCTCTCAAGCCCTGACCTAGGGGGCCTTCTTCCTTCTTCCCAGGTGAGTTTGTAGTAGTTCACTGACTTGACTCCCTCACTGGCTCTCGGTGTCCTGTCCTCTCTGACCGCCTCCGTTTGCTGCCTAGCACTTTTTCAAAGCACACGATGGTCACATGTCCCCTTTCTTAGCATCCTTCAACCCCTAAAGATAAAGCACAGTCCCCTTTGCTGGCCTTCAGACTCGCTCCTGCCCCAGCCTTGCTGCGCACAGGTCTGTGGTCTGGGCATGGCTTAAGAGCTAGGGGCACAGGCGGTGAGTGGCACGTGGCACCCAAATCCGCTCTGCTTCTGTGGGTGGTTTCAGCCCGGGAAAGGGGTGCTTCTTCTGCCCAGAGGAGATGCGTTATTGTGTTTCTCACAAAGACTCCATATGTGCTAACTGGGCCCCAGTAGCCTCCAGTGATCCCGGAACCCTTACCACTGTTCCTTCTAACTGTGTACCCCCTCTTCGAGGTGATCCAAATTATTTGCCATTCTCCCCCGGCCCCTGGCCCCCTGCCCCCCACGCAGTACGATTCTCTTTCATTGCCCTGGGCCTTTGTACACCTGTCCCTGGAAATCACTTGCTTCTAGTCTGTGTCTCGATTAATGAGTGGCTCCTAGGTCGTATCCATGTTCTGACGGCCTCAAAGTCCCTGGTTTAAATGGTGTGTAGATTCCATAATACAGGAGGAGGGGAAGCAGATAAGAGTATCAGTGAGAAAAGAATGGCCGTGAGTTTATGATTGCTGAGGCTGGGGGATGGGTACATGGGGCTCCAGTATCCTACCTGCTGTTGTCTATGTGTAAATTTGCCACAACTGTAATATCTTTTTTTCAAAAAGAATAGAAGCTCCACGGTAACAGTCCTAGAGTTTTTGATTTGGTAGGTCTGAAATATGGGGTTCGGGAATCTATATTTTTTATAAAGTGCTCCTCAGGTGACTTGGGGACCACAGATCGAGAAAAATGCTGGTGTGCCTTTGGAGCTATGCCAAGTGCCCTGCTGTGTGAGGTGCTCCCTGACCACCCAGGCTGCCCTGCCAGTGTCCTTCCCTCAGCAACGTAACGCCTCTCTGCCCCAGGCATCTAGAAGATGCTCTATACAGGGCTTATATTTTTACCACACAAGATTGAGAATGCCACACAAGAGTGCTTACCTGGCTGGCCTAGAACCGTAGCCTCCTCATAGTTGGTGTTCACTAAATATTTGTTCCTCTAGTCTTATAATGTTCCAGAGCCTTCCAGTCCAGTGGGCTGCTACCTCATTGGCACGTACTGATTAAAAGCCTGTGTTGGAAGCATTCCTAACTCCGTGGCCCTAAAAGGCCCCCCGGTTCCTTCATAGCTCTCATTTTATGGACTCATGAGGAGGATATGATCTCTGTCTCCCACGTTGCTTTGTGCTAAGGGTCAGTCGGCCTGCATGCAGCCCGCTAGGGAGACTGTGAGTGTCTCCGCCGTTTGCCTCTGGCTGTTCTGAAGCCCAGGGGGAGACCCTATTTTGTGTGATGCAAGGGCTCACTTGGGAGATGGCCTTTATCTAGCACAGGGGACTATGGCTTCAAACACTCTCCTTCTCCCGTAATTCTTACTTTCCATCTGTAATGCACCATCATCACCATTGCTACCCAAGAGCTATCCTGCCCTGTGCCAGAAGTGGGGGCAGCGGTGCTCCTGGGAGGAGAGAGAAGGTTGGCTCACGCTAGATCACTCTGTACTCAAGAGGCGCTTAGAAAAGGCGTTCCCTGCTGCTGATTATGTTCATAAGAAGTCAAATAAGAGTGAAGAGCATGGAACAAAGATTTAGGCAAAACCTCAGAGTGCCTAATAAATAACCTGGATCTTAAATGCCTTGTCCTCAGCAGGACCGGGGGACAAAGCCAACAGAGAGAGTCTGAGGGGGGTTTCCCTCGACAGAGCTGGAGACATAGTGAGGCCTCTAGCTATGTTTGTAAGCCAGACTCCCCCGGAAAATGCACACTGAGTCATGATGTAAACCATAGCCTTGTTTTCCTGCTAGTCCAAGGTGGGGCTGGGGGGAGCCTGTGTGCCTAGTTTGGGGAATGATAGCCTGCCTTGATTCCCGGAATCACCTCCTGGACACAGTTAGACATTTCTT